TTATACTATCTATATATTTCTATTTTGTTAAATAATTAATAAATAAATTCAGATAAAATTTAAATTACTTATGAATATCTAAAACGCAATCCTATTGGTTGTGACGTGTCTGGTCATATAAATGGCGGATTGTTTACGTTCTGTGCACAGTGTTTAGTTGTGTGGTTGTGTTTCATTAATTATTTTGTCGCTTTAAATAATTTATAGTTTGTATTAAACTAAAAAATGGCTTCAGAAGGATTTCTTAAAGCGTCAACAAACAATTTACCATGTATACATATTTTTATGGTTTCCGAATTTAAAAAAAACGACGAACACTTTTTTTAAATTAACTAACCCGAATTTAAGGGTGTTAAAGCAGCAGCGTAAGTAAAAATCCGTAAATTTATTATTAGTTGTTCTCTCCTTAACATACTAATCTGTCTGTATTGGTTTAAATTAGGTAAATAACATATGGAATTTTACTTATTTAACTCCTAACCTATACACATGGCTCCTTTAAAAATAAAATGAACTCTTAAATTTGTATTTTGGGCATCACGAGAACAATATGGTGATATCGGATTTGTGGAATTGAAACGCGAGGGTTCTTTGTGCACTGTACAAGGTAGAATTTGCCCAGAACCATGAGTACTAGTATTCTGTCTGCCTCATCATTAGCTTGTTGTTCGTACTTTCATTAAAATGATCCTCGCAACAAAAAACATTGATTTTGATTTAGGAACATCACGTCTAGCTGCTTTGAACTATAAAATTTCACGTGCATAATCATGGGGAACGGTTAAAATAAGTTTGGAGCACTGATTGAGGCATTCTTGCATCCTGGCACAAAACACCACTTATTTTGTGATCTACGAAATGTTACTATTTTCCATTATGCAAGATAATAATAATAATAAATGAAACAATGATAATCACAATAGCTTAAATAATGAAACAAAGCTGCGAAAACAACAAAATAAACACGAGACACTTTGTTGATATGACCTGCTACGTCACAATCGGGATATGCAGCCGACGGCACGGATTTGGCGTTTTTGGCGGAAAATATCCGAATTGAATTTAAGTTCGCTTTAAAATTATTACGGAGACTTTTTTGCAAAAAAAATATATCAGTGTAATATTTGCCGTAACTACTTTCTATATATCGACTTTAAAAAAAAGTGAAAACTCCCCTTTATTTCACCAATCAGATATGCTTTACATAAGGGCGCTGAACGAATCGATTACGCAACGCGACAAATTTCGTGAAATGTTTGGATATTAATCATAACTTTGGGCGTTTCCTGTAAAATAATCGGGAATTTCTGGGTTATTAAGACGTCGCTGATAAATATTTGGTCCTACGTTTCTCCAGCATGCGTGGCTACCTTCAGAAGTGCGTTTGCTTTGGAAGCAAAGTCATAAGAACATACTTTGAGCACATATTAAGTTTGGGTTTGAGTTTTCCATAAATCGCGATTCTCATCAGCAGTAAACAAAAACTTTATTAAAACTGTTTAGCAAAAATCGACAAATTTTCACACCTTCTTATCATGTTGTGCACATTTTCGGCAACATGCTGAGCCAATTCCATTTTAGTGAAACGTTAAATCAAAAGCCCATCTGTCTAATTTGTACCTAACGGCCGAAAGTTGCGCTCTATGACTCAGACGCTATGAAGTGATATTTATTTCAGAGGAAGTTTTAATGGCATTTGCAAAGTTTCGTTGGAAATTGCCAGCTCCAAGATTGGAAGTTACGGAGCCATAAATATACTGCAATAGGAGCGCTTAGCTCCTTAAAAGTTCTGCGGAATCGAGGCCTGTTTAGCTTCGAGTAAAATTTGAATCAAACCGGGCCCCTTTTTAACAAATTGTCTTAATCACCAAACCCAGTTCGGTGTCTTTATCTCTTAGAGCTAAGTCGATTATTTCGCCATTGTAGGCCAGCGAGCATTGAAAATGTATGAGGTTGCTTCCCTTATGGATTTATAAATAAAACATTCTCGGGCCGAAAATAATACAACAAACCTGCCGGGTTAGATCTGGGGAGATCATTAATTCCTGATTCCGGTGGAAATTTGAAGTTTTCATATACCGAGAAGTCTATTTCTGCAGTTTCCAGGTCATTAAGTCGTAATTCGCTACACCGCTAAATCATGTTTAAGAATTTTATTTGCAGTCTCGGGACTTAATCCAAGTTCAATATCGAAAATCGCAACAACCTCAAATCGATACGTCGAATAGAACTTCCGTGCCGCCTCAATTAATTGCGAGAAAAGCCGTGGAAAACGCAAGAAAAATCGCTATCGTCGTTTGCTCGCGTTGACATCAATTAAACTCCCTTTGTAGCCGAAGAAATCTTCTTAATTATCTGTCGTTCCATTTTCCCGGTTATTTCAACGTCGAATTTCATCTAAAACATATTTTTATGCTACGAAAGTAAGTCGCCATGCTTTCAAACAAATTAGTTGCTTTTATCATGACGATAAATCTCGTTACGGTTGCATGCGCTCCACATCTTTTCCTATTTCCACTGGAAAAACCTGCAAACCGTTTTCTTTCGCATAGACGGTTTTTGATTTTAAATGTGATTTACATGTACAAGCAATGCATAAATAGATATTTACGGGAAAAACTTGATTGATCGAATAGTTTAGTTTGGAAAATTGTAGTTTCTCTGGTTGGTTCTGGATCAATTAAGCAACAGATTTTATTAAGTCTTCATGTTGAAATAACAATAAAAAAACAGATTACAAGCAAGAACCAGGTGGAAAATGTTGTTAAGGTTCCAGTTTTGAGAAAAATCTCAATTGAAACACAAACCCCTGGAAATAGTGAAATGAGGATGCAGTTTAGGGGTTGAAAGCGGTTTTGTGGGACTTGCGGCCAAACGTGACTTTCTAGCCGAAAACCTCCAGAACAAACGTTGTAGATAATAAAACATCCAGAACTTTTGCATTTAACACTTTTTGCGATAGCATCAGATTAACCGTCGAAACGGCATAAACCGATTTTTCAGTATTTAATTTTTCAAATAACTTAAGTTTCACTTAAATTTACAAAATTATATTTTTTTTTGTCCTGTGGGATTGCGAGTGCCCGCATCGGGCGCCTCTCCAGGTGCTGGATAGGGGAAAGCCTGCCAGATTAGGTACCGAGGAAATCAAATACTCCAGTGGAATCAAAGAACAAAATCCACAAATTATAATTCAGATAATAATAATACTAATTCAGAAAAAAATTAGAGAATTTCGAAACTTTGTATACACAAAACCAACTCATACTGACCAGTATTTGAATTTTCTCTCAAATCACCCGATAATGGTAAAAAAAGGTATTGTAAAAACTTTATATGATTTTTTTAATCTAATTTTTCCAAGAAAAAACAATTTATAAAATTTTTTTTATATTTTCAGTAATTACACAAATTCTTTTATTGGAAAATGTTTTAATAAAATTGAATTCGCACAAGCAAAACAAAATCAAAATACACATAAAGGAGTAAACCTTTTTATTCCATTTATTTCACGACTTTCAGATCAAATTAAACGAATGGGCAGAAAAAATAATATTAGGACTATCTTAAAAACTAAAAATACAATTAGAAGCAAAATTTCAGTAACAAAACATCGTGAGAAAATTGAAAATACAAAAATTGTAATTTATAAAATTCGTTGCAAATGCAATAAATTTTATATAGGGGACCATTAAATAAAATAATCAAAGAACACCAATCATACATAAGAAACAGAAAATATCATAGATCACATATTTGTCAACATGCATTTGATAATTGCTGCAAAATTCAATGGAATAATTCTATAATTTTAGCAAAGGAACCATCTACAAAAGACAAGGTAAAATTAAAGAATGCGCATTTATTTTACTAAATCAAAATATTTGTGTTGACTCATGTTCATTTAATTTAAGTCATACATGGTTACCTATTAGGGATGTAGTAGTAGGGATGGTCGGTATTTAACGCAACCGCTAAAATAGCAGTCAATTTAACCGGTTGTTTTTGGAACCGTCCGAAAAAGTGGTTCGCACCAGCACAGAACCGATGCGACACCGTCGAGCCATCTATCCAGTTGTAGCAGTTTCAGTTTCGTCTATAAGAATTAGTGTTCAGTTCTTCAGGAACCATAATCGCTCAGATTAGCGAAATGTTGTTTAGTTTGGGTGATGATATAATTGAGCATTTTTAGTCTATAAGTATTACTGTTAATGTGGATTATTTAATGTTATTGCTGACTTAATAACACGCGTAAATAATTCAAATTTTATTACAAAAAGGGTGGTGCCCCATCAATCAGAAGAAGTCCAGTTAAAGGATAGACAAAAAGAAGATTATTCAACTTTTCAAGATTTTGACAGACCTGTTTCAGAACAAAAAAACCCAAGTATATTAGTACTTTTGTTCCATGCGAGACATTAGTTTCCAAAGCGGGTGCTATGATAAACGAGCGAAGAACTAGACTTAGTAAAATCATACCGAAAACAATTATTCTCAAATGGAAAATTAATTTTTAAATAAAAATTAGCTTCTTAAATATTTTCGCACCCCAAGCGTATATTTTATTTAAACCGTTTGATTTTATAATAAGTTTTTTTCCATTTAGTAGTTACTTATGACCCATATATTGCTTTTGCTTTTAGAACTAGAATATATTATTTTTAGTTTACCAATGCTAAGATTTATTTTTTTAATAAACTAAATAATGATTTATCGTCATTATTTCTACCATTATCATCATTGCAAATTTTTAACGAAAAATTGAAAAAGTTACATGTTACATTTGCCACGGCACTTTAGAACCTAAAACCAAAGTAGACCTGCAACGTTGTAACCTGTTCCATAAAAATAACCGTTTAGCACACCCTTATTACCTATGCTAAAATCTGGAGTGTACCAGACAAACATACACCAAAATTATTAACATTAACATTACCTGTATTAGTATAAACAGTGAGATTAAGCCAAAGTCTACTATTGGTTTACTAAGATACTCTTTTTTAGGTTCATTTAGGTTCCTTTGATAACGATAGCAGAAAACAGGTATCGAAACGTCAAGGTATTTTTTTAAATTAACTTCTATACTAATTGAAATTTTTTCTTACAGGTTGAGCTGAACGTTGTGAAGGACATTCTGTCTTTTTTAAAGACAAAAATTTTTGAGGCAAAATACCCAACAAGAAGTTAATGAATATGAATGAATAAAAAAATGAATCCGCCTCAATAATATAGCTTATCAACAATATGGAACTTATGTCATAATATCCATGTTAAGAACAAGATGTCTTTTTTGAATCTTATCTTGAATAAGCATGCATTTTTCTCAGGTCAGCAGAAGACTAGTTTTGGAGTTATGTACATTTTTCTAAGGAAATTCCCTTATCTTCCACAAACAATTGTCTTGATGACAAGTGGTCATTTTATTCGTTGTAATGTATATTTTACAATGTTCTGTGGGACTTGATGGTTTAATTATCGTTAAATGTTTTCCATTTTGTGAAGTTGGAATTTTTGCCAAATATTACTCGGTGTCGAACATATTTCTAGCTCAATGTGTTTTATAGTGCACATAGAGTGAGTGTTTGGATTTTTGAAGATTCTTCCAACACCAAAACCTATACAGGGTGTTTCGTTTGGAAAATACACAACCCATACTTTTTAGTACACAACATGCGGTATACAGGGTGATTCAAAATGGCCGTAATTTATTTTAAGGGGTAATAGGGGCTCACTGGAGAGTACGCAAAAAATATTGAACTTTTTCTTTTCGTTCATTTCTAGAAGATATTAACAGTTGAAAATCGAATTTCAACGTAGTTATTAAGCATTATTTTGAAATGGTTCTATGTTTAATTGGTAGCATATTGGAATACTTAAGCACTCGAAAAGAAAAATTACGACCTTTGCTTCAAATTACGAAAATTTTTGATATTAAAAAAGTTCTCTTTGACAATTTTTTGATGAAAAGTCAAAGCGGCAATGATGTTTTTTGTCATTAACATATAGTTATAGGTAGCCATTGTCAATAATAACAAGCATTTGTCAAACTGTGACTTACTTTAAAGCTCCTTTCACGAATTTGCTCGATTAGTTCAGGGAAAATGCTACAGTAACATAGCAGAAGCTGAAAGAAGTCACGCAAGTAAAGGGCTAGAGAAGCTGGAGATTGGCTCCAGGAAGATAGTGGACGACAATAGATCTTCGGGTTCCATTGGACATAATTGCTGCAGAGCTTTCCAGGGTCACTCAGAGCACTGCACAACAACTGACACTTTCCAGGCACCATATAAATACCAAGGAAGGGCTACATTCCTACCACATATGTAAGATAAGCAGAGCACAAGGACACATTAAACCAATCGCTTACCGAACACCGGTGCAAATTAGCAGGAGTTAATTAACCGAATGCTCTGCTGCTCGAGAAGAGTGGACAAATGAGTGGAACAAAAAGAGTGAAGGAGTGACACAAGGACTCAAATGTATGTTTATGTGTAATTTTTAAACAAATTAATAATTCGAGGTTATTGTGATATGATGATGTAGGGTAACGGTGGCGGACGGGAAAACACCGAAAAGGTTAGATTTCGAAAACTTGATAAATCAGAATGAGCAAATAGTCCAAACATTAGAAAAACCTAGAAGATATCTAATTAAGTTAGATAGTGTTAGTTGTGTTGAAAGAAATAGAAAATTTCTAATAAATGACACCGAATTTAAGAAGAACCCGCCTGTCAACTATACTGCATATGTTGGTAGTAAATATAAAGATAAACGTCACACTGTTATACCAACTAGGTTTAAGAATTTTGATATGAACTCAATAAGTAGTGTTTAAATAAGTATTGTTGATTTAGTAGTACAGGGTTGCTAGCTTAAGAAAGGAGATATGGTATGATGATGTAGGGTAACGGAGGCGGATGGGGAGACACCGAAAAGGTTAGGTTAGAGGAGGGAAATCTGACATGTTGTAAAAGTCAGACAAAGTGGATTTAAACAATCTTCGTTTCTTGTATAACATGACAGTTTTGAGGACAATAATTGACATTTCGAAAAAGTACGTTAAGTCATTCAACGATTCCTGTTGAACTTACCGTTTACCGAAGTTTTTAATAATCACCAAGCAACAGATATTTACGTAATATATTAGGCAGATTACCTTGAGAAACATTGTTGCCGTCTTTCTAATATAGTTTTTTGCAAATTTCTCCGTTTTTAATCACAATTAATTTTTTAAACTACTTTTTCGGTACTCCTAAAACACCTCCAAAGGAATGACGCCAATTTTGAACCACCCTGTATTAACGCGCCCACCCCAGTATAAACGTAATTTTTTCAAAGTACAGCGATTTTTATCAAGTTAACAAACAAACCCCCCTTATGAGATAAGTGGAGTAAAACAAACCGGTTGCTTTATGCTTTGAAACGGGAAACGTAGGCCGGATGCTTAGTTCGATTTCGCGTGTCATCGCGCTCCTATAAAGCAGACACGACCGGAAGCACTCAAAGTTGCTAAAACGGATCCTGTGCCCCAGCTTTAACTGAATACCCCATGTAGTGCGCTTCCGAAGAAGTCGGCCGAAACAAATGGCAATGGGTGATTGGCTTGGATATTTTCACTGGAATCGATCCTTTTCAGATGTTTACTGTACTTACCCATGTAGTCGAGATTGGGTTGGACCATTTTCGACAATCTGGACGTCCATGGTTGGCATGGCACTTCTTGGCCGTCCTGGGCATCGTGCAATTTCTCTGCAAATTTACAAGAGTATTGATTCACCTCAAAGCTATGCCAAAATGCAATATTCTAAATCACGAGCTGCGGATATTGGCAAAGCCATTTTAAGGACACTCGTGAATTTAATATCGAACTGGTAAGCAAACTTCCGTTCGACTAATTGATTGAGAAGTTGCCGATGGAACTTGAGGCTGCAGGAAGATGATACTGTTTCTAGGAGGAAGCGCTTTGAGTTTGGGTAACATAAAATATAAGATTCACTTTCGAATATTTCTCCTGCTACAGCAATAATTCTGATCTTGTAAAGCTCATGTAAAAGCCACAAAAACTCGTCATAAATCCTTACCGACAAACTCCATGCCAGCTAACTTCCAAGTGCCTCGTTTGGTGACCAGAATGCTTCCAGGGCAAACATTTTTATGTATCACATGTCCGGTGAAATGGAGAAATGCAAGCGCTTCTGTTATCTGAAAGGAAGTATCATTATTCTTGTCGTTCGTGTCTAGTATTTCTTTTCGCTCGCCTCTACACAAGGAAAAATTACTACTGGAAGAGGTTTAATGGACGTGGGTGAATTAAATTGTTGTAAATTGGGCCACGCTTTGATACTTTAGGCCACCGATTTTAACCGTGAATAATGATCGTGGAATTGTTCTAAGCCATTGTTTCACTTGGGCAATTTCACTTATGAAGCTAGAAAATCAACTGTTTAGTTCCGGATTTTCCTTTTCTGTTTCGGAGTTCGTAAAATTTCAGACTTTGAGGTTTTTTGTAAATGAGGATGGTGTTCCAACGATATAGTTAAGTAAGGTTGTGCCTAACCGGTATTATTTGTTTCAAAATTCTCACCCTCAGACCAGTTATCTGCATTCTACAAGTTTAGTCAAAACTTCCGCAACAGCCAAATATTTCAGAGAGGATTGGGTGCATTTTTTGCAATTTTGTACACCGGAATTTTTAAGTATACTGATCCAGTATTTATGTGCACAAAGCCATGTTTATAGTCTTCCTCTCAAATGCCCAAATTTCATATTTGCAGGAATACGTTTTTATTTAATATTTAAATTGCCTGCATCTTAAAAACTAAATAAATAATATATTACGGTAAGCGAGAGTAAAGTCGACGTGCCACCACTGCTAGTTGACTGACGTCATGCAGGCAGTAGCGGGCGAATTTTGTCTCGCAGACCGTATACGATTTTTGTTGATCCTCGGGGGAAACTAGCAGCAAAAAGTACAAGTTTTTGAAAAAAACGGCATTCAAAATGTCAAGACAGTCAGTGACAAACAGTCAAGCTGTCAGGGTGTGTGGTGAAAGTTACTACTTTCCCCACGGGATGAAGAAAAATTAATTGAGTAGTGGCGGAAAGATAAATTGTCATTGTAATGAGTAAAAGCAATTTTTTCGCTATCGAAAACAGTGGCAAAACTGTGTACTTTCCACCAAGGGACCAAGAAATAATATATTACTGTACAAGAGACGAAAGTCGAAGATCCGCCACGGCTTGAACTTCACACAACTTGAAGGTCATGCACGCAGTGGCGGAACTTCGGTTTCAAAACCTTATACTTTTCTCTCTCGGCGAATTTCCACCGAGGATCAAGAAAAATAGTAAGTATGCGGTACGCGAGACGAAAGTCGAAGGCCCGCCATTGCCTGCATGAACTTCAAGACTTTCATGACTTTCCTCCTTTTGATCCTCGGCCAAAATTAGCCGGGAAAAGTATAAGGTTTTGAAAAATAACTTTGAAAATATTGTCAAAACAGTCAGCTGACAGTCAGTGACAAAGTCAAGCTGTCAGCGTGTGTGGCAAAAGTTACTACTTTCCACACGGGATGAAGAAAATTTGTATTGGGTAAAAGTCAAGCTTTCGCCATCGAAAACAGTGGCGAAAGTAAGTGTTTTCCACCAGAGATTAAGAAATAGTATATTAGGGTACAAAACACAAAAGTAGAAGTTGCGTCACTGCTTGAAGTTCACGCACGAGGCGCAGCCGAGGGCGTCATGGACGCAGTGACGGGTCTTTGACTAACGTCTCGCGTTGCGTGTACTATTTTTCTTGACCCTCGGTGGAAACTAGCCGAGAAAGTATAAGGTTTTGACAAAAAGCTTTGAAAATATTGTTAAAACAGTCAGCTGGCAGTCAGTGACAAAATCAACCTGTCAACGTGCGTGGCGAAAGTTATTACTTTCCACACGGGACGCAGAAAAAGAAAAGCCATCGAAAACAGTGGCAAAAGTAGGTATTTTCCACCAGGGGATCAAGACAAATATATTATTTCCATTTAAAATAGGTTGATTTAGACTATAAACTTGGCAACTTCGCCCATATTAAATTTCAAAAGTTTTCACTAAATAGTTTCTGAAATTTTATGCTGCGATTGGACCTTTGACTTGCATGCAAGCTTTTAGAGAGAGAAATTTTGACGCCTTATTATCGGTTATTCAACAATTAAATAGAAGACGGGATGTGTATTTCGATTCTGTACCATTCACTCTGAATAATTCTAAATATTTTTAGAATCTGTACGTCTAGTACCTGCCTGTGCAATATGACGATGATAATTTTAAACCACATAATTCCGGTTAAACGTAAACTTATTTTCCTTTGATTTATGTTCCTGACTGCGTGTAATTGTTATTATATTCTCATCTTTCCTTGGTCTCAGTCAAAGTGTGACATAAAACTTTTTAATATCGTTTAATTTATTACGTTTCGGCAAGACAACAGCGCCATCATCAGATTTAAAGTTTACACAAACTTATGTTAATGTTTACCAATTGTAAGTTGTTGTGTGAGTCAAAATTTTTACATACACACTTTGACTGAGACCCAGGAAAGATAAGAATATAATAACTTATTTTACTTTATAGTTGGGACACCCTGTTCATAAAAAAGCTGGCACGCATTCATCAGTTGGCTCCGCCTCCTTAACATAAACGGCCCAGATGCGGACGGAGCGAAAACTGAACGATTGCAGTCATTCACTTGGGAAGCTTCCATATGTCATTTGAGAATGGTCGCATCAAATGCACACGAAACGTTAGATAGAAAGCGAAAACACTTTGCTAAGTGTTTTGTGAGATTTCCCCATTACCTTGTGCCAAACATGCCATTAAAACTATTATACCAGCCTAATTTCCGTAGAGGACATTAGCGAAATTTCCGGAAGATGAATGGAACTGGTATTTTGCCCTAACAAGAATGACAAAGTTGGGTGGAATTTGATTATTTCCAAGTAGATTCCCGGAAGTGGGTACACAAATTGGTCTGATTGGCCAGGCAATGCTAATGAGAAATTGCTGCAGATGAATCGGAGTTTTGTGCATTGAAGAAACTTTGTTCATTAACTAATCAAAGTCGCCCACAACTAGCGTAGTGGAAAATCAATTCCCGCAAGAATTGCAGGTCAACATTAGACTAAATTCAATTAATACCCACATACAATTAGTTCAAAGCGGAATCGAATCGATTCGAGTAGAAAGTCGTTTCACTGAGCAGACGGGCATATGAAGCAAACACGATTCACTTTAACTTTGTAAATTTCGAACTCTCCAGGCTACTACCGAATAAATGCAGTTTAAGGGCGGAGTTTCCGTTAACTCAGCCAACCTAATCCGATCTGCCTTTGATCTAACTCGATGGTGTTTAAATCTCGCCTACCTGCAATAATCCGTATTTGTGTTCGATGTCGAGAAAATTGTATTCTCTTTGCATCACTCCCGGTTTCATGGGCGGCTGCTGAGTGCCGCCCGGCGATGACGTGGTGGTCACCGCCTCTTGGAAAGCGAAAATGTTCGCCAAACTTGCATAAACTGGTTCGGAGGCGAACGCCAATGTGTTGTCGCATTCTTCAATGTTGTGCAGCACCAACAAAAGCTGCAAGAAACTGTTGATTAGACCGATTTACCCTTGCGCTGGCATCAACGTGCAAATAACACCCAGAACTTAATGGAGATTGATTGAGGTTCAGCTGTGGGTGGTGTGAAGTCTTGCAATGGGAAATTGGGGGTAAATAATCTTCCGGAAAAACCTTTGGTAATTTGCCCCAAAAAAATTAGAAAAACACTATTTATTGGCCTCATTTTAGTTCAGGTAAATATTTGGCATCTACTTCTTGAAAAACCTTCCCTTATGCTCAGCATTTCCAGCCATTATTTCCCTAGTGTTTGCTGCACGCTACATTAGCTGTCCTTGCCCCATTTATCTTTATTGGCCAGTTTGTGCGCAATTTTTCATCTAATTTACCCTTTATTATCAAACATCTCATGATTGGATCGTGGTTGGATGCCATGATTGATATGTCGTTGGCAAATAAAAGTGCAACTTTGATGGTTCAAGTTCCAAATGATCTCCTTTATTTCAAAAATTTGGTTTTAAAAGTGGATCCCAGTCAAAAGCTTGCGGAAAATCAAAAGATTTATACTTGAAAATAATCCAAAATGGGCAAAAACCCATCAGCTTCCTGTCACTTAGGGATGAGACATCGATCATATAACATCGATGCTAGCCATCGATCTTGACGTTGAAAGATAATATCGATGTTAGGAAAACATCGAAGGCAGAACATCGATGTTTGACACCATCGATGTTTTGATAGTTTGCCGTTGCATACAAATTTCAAATTGATTAACTTAAACTTAAATAATTTTATTTTACTACTACTATGACATTAAATAAGCGATTAAATGTATTCAACTTATAGTTGCCACATTTTTCGCTCAACTGACTGCAAAAAGAGGCTTCTTTCGGGTGCAGCTGGAGATGGGCCGCTATGCCGCGATATCGTTTGTATCGGTACTATCCAAGAGTTTGCAGATAATGTTTCTATCTAGTAGAAACATCAAATGTCCGATGTTTTCATTTCAGGATCTAACATCAATATTTTATCAATGTCCCAAATTTCCAACATCGATGGTAAAAATATCGAACATCGAACGAATTACATCGATGTTTGCGAAACATCGATGATTTTCTCCCATCCCTACTTCCGCTTATGATAAATGTAAGCATTCAAAAACAATCCCTATGGAGTTCAACTGTTGGGTTTCACTCTTATAATTACTTTAACTAAAATGTTACCTTAGGATGTTTGTACAGCTCCAGTTCCTTAATGCTATTCCTCAAAATTTCAGTCACAGTCTCTTTTCGTTTCGGTTTGTGCAGCTTTTCGGCACATCGTTTCTCGAAGACAAAAACGGAACATTCCTGCAACAAAGGGCACGTTCATTTGGGTGGCACTAATTGAGCCAAACCTCGAGCCTTAAATTGGAACATAATTTGTCCGGTAATTAGATGGCGAATATTCATAAGCACAAACAGAAATAAATTAATTCTATGGCTGGGTTGGAAATGCGCCTTCGAGGAGAACGACGCGACCCAATTTAGTTCACACACAATAACATAGATTTTCATTTTCTTACATTGCAATTCGAGCCGGTTGCGCCATGGTTTAAACAATCTTAAGTAGAAGGTTTTAATTAAAATAAATGCAATTTCTGTGAGAATCCCGGACTTCTTCAAAGTGCCAGACACTGTAAATTCTTGTTAATTGTCTGTTTCTAGAGTTAAATTGCCCGTTTATTGGTTTGGCTTTTATTAAAACTGGGAAACTACTATCATTTAGGATTACGATTTCTGTTTACTAAGCCCCCAGTGAACTAAAATTATATTATATTCGAATCCCTTGCAGGATATTTTAAATAGTTAATACCCAGAAACATTCGCTTCCTAGTGATAATGCTTTTTATCCATCCGCTGAAACACATAAAGAGCTGCAGCAGGTATAAAAATCGGACGAGAAACGAAGGGAGCCTCGGCTCAACATCGAGTTTGGCGCAGCTCAGTTTTTAGAGGCACTCTATGAATTTTTTACGATGTTTCCTCTTTTGGCTGGCAGCTGCTTTTCGGGTGAGTGACTCAAATGAAATAGTTATAAGGTTTTTGCCTTTTTATGGTTTTCGGCTACCGTTTTGTATAAAAGGGTTTTATTTGACGGAAAATCGAAACTTTATTAGCAAGGATCTGACCCCAAAGGTGGCCTGTAATCGATTTTTTCTAGTCAGTCAGAGAAAGTGCGGCCGTGTCTATTTCTATTCTATTCTATAGTGAAAAGATGGGTCAGATGCTTGAGGTTTCCTAGACGAAACTAGGAAGACAACACGATAAGTGAAAATTGAAATGTTTGCAGTTTTGGCGCAGAAACAAAAATTCCACAGGATTTAAATTTTTGGGCGCTAATATCGAGTCAAAAATGACTCCGCCTTTTCATTTTTCATCGTTTTTCCATAACCAGTTGAGTTCCAGCGTTAACTTTCCGATCACTAGATAGATAATTTACGCTCTTATTTAGTAGGTAAATAGAGCGAAATATGACAATAATGACGTAAGGTTCGTTAATGACTCCACATTTTTGCTTATGGCTGGACAATGAAATGAGACAGTGTTCAGGTTTTTGCACCAATGACTAGAGAATAAAATGACACATTTATCACGTGAAGCATTGCCGGTGAAAAATTGAGAGCACACAATAACGCAATATCCGCAAATTTTTCAGTTTTTTGCGTTTTTAGCAAAAGTGGGCCATCGGGTCAAATATGACGCTACCATTTGGCCATATCTCATCACACCGCATTCACTACCGTGAAGTTTAGTTAGAAAATAGTGGCAGTTTGCACACAAACATTGAAATTGGAATATTACGCACTTAGGTGCAACATGACGCCATCATTTCTCGACATGACGCCGCCTTTTTGCTCATATTTCAAGCGCAAGTTGAGCGAGCCGCCAACTTTTTACACCACTGAATAGAGAATCAAACGGCACATTTTTCACGTGAAGCGTTGCCGGTGAAAAATTGAGAGCTTGCACACAATAACGAAATGTCCGCAATTTTTTGCGTTTTTCGCAAAAAAATCGGGTCAAATATGACGCTGCCATTTCGTCATGTCTCATGAAACTCCATTCACTACGTAAAGCTTTGGTTATAAAATAATGGCAGTTTGCACACAAACATCGAAATTGAAATACTACACTCTTAGCTGCAACATGAGGCCATCATATCTCGACATGACGTCGCGTTTTTGCTCATATCTCAATCACAAGTTGAGCGAGGCGCCCAATTTTTGCACCACTGAATAGAGAATCAAATGACACATTTATCACGTGAAACATTGTTGGTGAAAAATTGACAATTTTTTATTTTTTTTGTGTTTTTGGCAAATGTTGTCCATTGGGTCAAATATGACGCTGCCATTTGGTCAAATCTCATGCAACCTCATTCACTACCTGAAGCTTCAGTTGAAAAATAATGGATATTTGCACACACACAACGGAATTGGAATATTACACACTTAGGTGCAACATGACGCAACTTTTTTGATTATATCTCAAGACCATGTTGAGGGAGCCGCCAAATTTTTGAACCACGGAATAGAGAATAAAACGGCACATTTATCACGTGAAGTATTGCCGGTGAAAAATTGAGACCATTCACACAATAACGAAATGTCTGCAATTTTTTGAGTTTTTTGCGTTTTTCAAAAGTGGGCCATCGGGTCAAATATGACGCTGCCATTTGGTAAAATCTCATGGAACCCCATTCACTACGTGAAGCTTCAATTGACAAGATGAGGGAGCCGCCAAATTTTTGAACCACTGAATTGAAAATTAAACGGCACATTTATCACGTAAAGCATTGCCGGTGAAAAATTGAGAGCTTTCACACAATAACAAAATGTCCGCAATTCTTCAAGTTTTTTGCGTTTTTGGCAAAAGTGGGCCATCGAGTCAAGTATGAGGCTGCCATATGGTCATATCTCATGAAAACCCATTCACTACGTGAAGCTTTGGTTAGAAAATAATGGCAGTTTGCACACAAACAACGAAATTGAAATATTACACTCTTAGCTGCAACATGATATCTCAAGCACAAGTTCGCTCAACTTTTCGCTCAACTGCCCAATTTTTGCACCACTGAATAGAGAATCAAGTGACACAATAACGAAATGTAAGACATTTTTTATGTTTCTTGTGTTTTTGGCCAAAGTTGTCCATCGGGTCAAATATGACGATGCCATTTGATCATATCTCATGAACACCTATTCACTACGTGAAGCTTTAGTTAGAAAATAGTGGCAGTTTGCACACAAATAGGGTAATTTGAATATTATACGCTTACGAGCAATGTCACGCCTTCATATCTCAACATGACTTCATATTTTTCCTCATACATGTAACTCTCGAATAAAATGAGCTTCTGGCCAGATTTTTAGTAGTGTGGTAGAAACCACACTACTGAAGCAGTGGCAGGTTTTACAATAAAATATATATTTTTTAAATTTTTAGTTTTTAACGGTTTTGGGAAATGTGGGCCTTCCCCTCAAATATGTCGTTTGATCAAATCTCATGAAACCCTAATCAAAAAGTGAAGCTTCAGTTAGGAAATAGTGGCAGTTTCCACACAAATAGCCATTTGAATATTACGCACTAAGGTGCAAAATGAGGTCAATAAATTTCAACATTACGCCTTCTTTTTGTTCATATCTGGAGAATACAACCAGCTAGAAAGCTGATTTAACTAACACTAGAAGATTAAATATCATATGGCAGTTTTCAGACAAAAACTAAATTTCAACACAGTTTTGAGCTTTTTGCCGTTTCGGACAAAGTGAAACATCGGTTCAAACATGACTCTGCCATTTGGTCATATTTTATGCATCATCTCAACATTAAATTAGGAAATAGTGGCAATTTTCACACAAACTGCAAATGGAAGATCAGCCCATTGTGTCTCAATAGCACGCCCCCGTTTTAGCTCATCCTACGAACCAATCGAACTAACGCGTCCATTATTTCACCACTACACAATTACCAAATTGAGCACCGTTTTGGTAAATTTTATTAGTTTTCCCACACTAACAGCTAACTTTTCAGTTTTACATGGTTTTGGCAAAAGTGGGCCGTCGGTTCAAAACTGACTCAGCCTTTTTGGTTGTATCTCAAGAACTCTTTGAGCCATGAGTTTTTGTGCTACCGTCGAATCGAAAACGCAAAACTGCATTGCCTGCGAAAAGTTTTCATTTTGCAGCTTCTACAGAACAAAGTAAATTATAAAATTACACACTTTTTGGCACAAGTTAAAACTAAGATTTTCAAACATGCCGCCACCTTTTTCCTCATACCTCAGGAATGAATTGAGCAAGTAAGCTGTGTTCTATATCATTGAAGAGAGCATTAAATAGCGCATTTATGAAGTGAATCAATGGTTGGCAAAAACACGATTTTCACTTTTGAGTGGCAGCCAGAGAAATTGACTGTCAATTTTTCAAAATTAAATATGTTTTCCTTATCTGAGCAATTTGCTCAATAATTTTTATCTAGTAACTGTCTGTCTGGTTGATTCGTCTTCATATTCTAATGTAGTCTTACAGTAGATTATTAGTTATACACCTGATTTCCATATTTATTAGTCTGTTTCTGCTTTGCTTACGTTACACTCCCTGAACAAGTCAAGGTAATTTTCCCTAAAAGGAAATTTTGATACAATTTCAAATACATCTGGAAACCGAAGGAGGGCACGCATTTGCAAATTGCACTTGACATTAGCGTCGATTTGCTCTCAATTTGTATCTTTTCTCCATTTCCTCGTCTCTGCTCGAATTTCCAAATGAGAACCGAGAAGAATGTACGATATTGGCAGTCTATCGAAGAAAATACGACCGGGGAATACGTAACGATTTGATTGAAAATAAGAAAACCGGAGGAGCTCAATTAAATTCCTTGCAAGAACAAAGCGCAGATAATTAACTGGACGTTTCACTCGAAATCCCTTTGAAAACTTTGATGTCCAGAAAGTTTCCTGAATCGATCCCATTGAAACAGTGCGATAATTATCCCAATGCGCCTTCAGGCTGGGGTTTTGTGGACAGAAAGATCCCGTTTGAGTCCGCTGTGATCTGGCTTTATTTACTCTCGTCACTTTTGTTGTTTTTCTTCGCTGCTCACCATCTCGCTTGTGAAAATCCTTTTTCCAATACGCTGACTCGGCTCGAATGGATTTTAAGCAACGTCTACTAGTATTAATATTTTGATAAAGGTGCCTGCAAATAACGTAATCGGTTTACGTGTACGTCGCCTTAAAACTGATTTTCTATCTAAATTATTTACACCAGCTTCCGTGGGAAGATAAATGTGGTTTTGGTCGGTCG